TGTGTGCCTTGGCAGTCACAGGTTTATGATAACCCACGTGGCACTTACTTCATATATCAACATTTGTCAAGTTTATAATGTATTTATATGTCAGTTGAACTTGTCACTTCACTGTTTCAAAGCTCTGAACAGCATTATATCAAACAAAAACATAATAATATTTGAACACACTTTTAGAGAAATGTTTGTTGTTTTGACTTTTTTCTTATCTTGACATGACAGCTAGCCCACCAACATGTCTGATTTGAATTATCTATGACACACATACAAACTGTAGTTCATGTTACTGACGATATCCAGCCTAATTGTCGTAAAAAATGTAATCTGTCCTTATTTCCGAAATCTAGTTCTTAGAAGTTACAGTAGGTACCACCCTGAGTTAAAATTATAAATGGCATTATGAAAATGTGAAATGCCACAAATTGTATGCACTCTCAAACATTTGGCAGAAAAACTAATAGGTCTCAAATTGCTATAAAAGAAAGTGCAATCTCTTTCATGCCGATTTGTGATTGTGTGCCATTAATATGTATGTTGACTATTATACAGTATAATTTTTTTTCCCATAATCTGAAGCTTTACTTACCAGTTAATAATAGGCTCTCTCGAACAGTAGATGTTCCACCTGACCTAAAGTCAAACATATGTACCCACTCTTTAGAAAATCTATTTGCTCAACCCCCCACCTGCTAGAAACACACTATTTCCATGTGATACAATTAGCTGGACATTGTTGATGGTTATTATTTCATGGGAATATCCTATTTTCCACCTGTTAAGATACTTTAGGATAATGAAAAGCTTTTAATGTAAGTGATTAGATAAGATTTTGTCAAAGTAGTTACTCTTTCTTTCTAATTTAATGTAATATGATCAAATGCTAATTTAGGTGATTTTTGCAGGTTATGATTTTGTGTTTGAGATTATTGCATGATATTTTTTCTTGACCTTGATTGAAGGAATCAGCTATGACTGTTGTCACATATTTTTGCTCACCTTTGATCTTATCTTTTTTCTTCAGACTTGCTGTCAAGAATAGATTTGGATGAACTGATGAAGAAAGATGAACCTCCATTCACTTTCCCCAAAACACTGGAGGAGTTTGAATATGCCTTCAACGAATGTAAGTACATTTTTTAGTCTTTAAAGCATACAAAGCCTTCTGCTTATACCACCAACAACACACCAAATATTGTGAACTGTAAGTTTAACGAACAACACTTCTGACAGTTCAAGAGTTGTTCTAAAGCTCAGGTGCATAACAAGTTAAATATAATTCATACATGTGAATGATGCAGCTGATTTCTAGTATTGAAATGTATGTTTAATGTATTGGGTCACTTTAAAAAAAACTTAAATAATAAATACACTGCAATATCATTTGAATAATTATTAGTGACCTAAAGAGTTAATAGGGTCATGTAAATAAAACAAATGTGTTTTTCCTTCTATTATTCCCCTTTTATCATCTTGTGAAGATGAATCATGTGACCACTAGAAGGGTCCTGACCCCCAGGTTGAAAACCACTGACCTACAGAGTTTGGTTGCTTCCACTTGATTCTTGTTAGAGCTGCTTTGAAACAAAATTACCATAACCCTTCATTAAACTAAGACAGTTTAAACGTAATCTGTCTGTGTGCAATTACCGCTCTCCTCAGTGTAATGTCACTGTTTTTGAATTAATGACCTGAAACTGTCTCTGCTGTCACCTGGGACACTTTGGGTGTAAAAGTGTTCTGAAGATGTGTGTGTCTTTGTGTGCATGTGGCAATAATTAGTGACAGGAAGGAGCCGAGCTGGACCCAGACTGGTGCTGCTCCATGAGATATAAAAGTCTCTTTAGAATTCTCTTGGCTCGCTTTAATCAAACCAGGTGGAAAGACGGAGGAAGAGTTAGAAAGAGAGGGGGGGGGTTTGACTCTTACTCAGTAGCACCTCTCTCTCTCTCTCTCTCTCTGTTTCTCCCCCCCTCCCTCTGTGCTCTGTCAGTGTCTCTGCTGGCTGTCTGGCTGGCTGAGTGGGGGACATGTTGTGTACTCTACGGCCCGTCAGTAACCTACTCAGCCTTGCCCTCCGCCTGACGGAGCATTTGCATAACCTCGCTGTGCCTAAGAACAGAGACACAGAGACTCACCCCCCGCCCGCCACTGTGCCAACACCCGCCACCCCCCTACCCCACCCTCAAGTCCCAGCTCAGTCTCCCATGGAGGGATGAACACATTCAGAGACTCTCCCTCAACCTCCTGTCTCCTCTGTTCTCCCTTCTCTCCCTCTTTCTGTATCTCTCTATTTTTGCCCCTGCCCCGCAAAAAAACACCCCCACTTGAAACACAGCTTACCCCCACACACACACATACACTACACACACCCATACCCATCAGCATGTCTTGTCAATTTCCACTCAGGCCTGCTTTTGAAGGATAGCATTTCACAGTAGCTCTGGCTCGCAGGCATTTCTATAGCTACACCCCGGCTACCTTTGCCCGAGACAGGTGGAACAAAAATGTTAATTTGACCATGTAATGATGTGAATACAGACTAGGCTGTGTACAATAGTTTGCAGGTATCTTAATCACTGAAGATGATGGCTTCATCTCGCTAGCCCCCCAGTTTTCCATTACTGGAAATCCAAGGTTATGTACACCTAATTAAGCGGCCAAATTGAGAACAGAATGCTAATTATGACAGAAAAGAGGAGGAAAGTTGAGAAAACGTTATTCCTCTGAGAGGATGTGTTGGGGGAGGCGATGGAGCTGATCACCCCCCTAGCACACACACACACACACACACACACACACACACACACACACACACACACACACACACACACACACACACACACACACACACACACACACACACACACACACACTAGGATTTCATTATAGCTCATCTCTTCCTTCTCTTAGGCAGTAGTGTTTAGATCATCACCCCAGCCATGAATTCTTAATAGATTTTCTTCAAGGTACTTTTTTTGCACACTGCTTTATCCTAACTTCTCACTCGTCTCCTTCTCTACCTCTCAGGCACATGTCTGCTTGTTAATGCAACATAATGACAAACCAAGATTCAGCATAACATGTTGTCTAACGACTCACCATGAAAGCAAGTGCTGTAATACACAGTGTGTTAGCAATGCAAGATTTATCACATTGATAGAGAGGTGAAATTGGTGGCAATTTAGAAGGAGATGAAAAAGTGCTTATGCATTCTTTTATCCTCCACAGATATTGTATTTATTACTATCTTAGATGGGTTTCTTCACGTTGAACAATAATTGAGAAAGTATGAGAGCCCCCTGGCTATTTGGGTTAAGTATGTGTACTTTTCAGTGGTTTAGCTCTTACAAATTCTGCAGTCATAAAGGTCAAAATTAAATTTAACACTGTTTAGTGTTTTATTGTGTTGTAGTGTCAACGGCAGGATCGATGGGCTCATTGCTAAGGTATAAATGGAGAGGTTCCACAGCCACACAAGGGTAATTGTTTATTAAGAAAAAAAAGCAGCAACATTCCTTACAGTCTTATGACGGTTTTATATCAAATAAAACCTGGATCGGTTGAAACCCCCTCATTTCTCCTGAATTATAATAAATCATTTAAACAGCGTCCCCAAAAAGATTCAATTCTTGTGTACTGTTTTTGCGACACATAAGACAAAATCCAATCTGGCCCCTACACCCTCTGCCACCCTCTTCCACTCTGTTTGTGTGTTCATGTTCCCATATAAGATGCAATTCCAAACAAATTAGTAGAGTGGAAGTTGGTTAAAACACACAGCGAGTCTGCATCAAAGCTGTCCTCGGTAATTCTGCCTCTGTCACTGAAATTGCTCCGTACAAATCTGTCCATACATAAATGCACCTGTAAACTTTGCAAACTAAGACAGACAATTATTGCTGTTTTACAGAACTTTCACAACGTAAAGGCTTTTAAAATCAAATACACCCTTTTATAGTCTAGAAAACATTGGACGTATTTATTTGATTGTAAGGCATTGTATATTTACAGGGAATGTTTGCGAAAACAAGCAGCTCATCAACATCAGAGTTAAAATCAAGAAGTTTTCACCCAAAAAAATCCCACCAAAAGTAAATCTTTCTGCCGCAAAGACTGAGGTTCAAGCCTAGTGACACGTACTGTATGACCACTCCTGGTCGTCCTGGTCGTCCTGGTCGTCGTGTTGTGTGTGTGTGTGTGTGTGTGTGTGTGTGTGTTGTGTGATGATTGGCTGTTGCCCCAATTGCGTCCTCAAAGGAATTGCAAGGAACAGTTGTTGTTGTGGCTAATGCATGCCAGGGTACCTTTCTCTTTCTGACAAAAGCACACTCGGAACCTTTTTCACCCCTTCTTAGGTCTTTGCTTATAGAGATTTCAGGTAAAAAAAAAGAAAGGGAACGACATGTGGTGACTGGCCAACTGTAGAGAGAGACATTGACAAACTAAAAGAGGAAGTGGAGAGGCTGTAGATGATTGAAAAAGAGGAGAAAGGGAAAGAGAAGTTTTGCCATACCAGCTGTCCAGCACTGGCCTGCCAGACTACCCAGAAGGCCGTTGGAGTCGTGACTGGAAGAACGTTGCTGAATCCACAGGCCTTGGACCCGCCAGATGGGGGTGGTTGAGGTAGGAAGGTGAGAGAGAGGGAGCTTAAGGACCACCAGAGGAAAAAGGAGAGAGATAGAGAAAAAAGTGTGCAGGTTCAGTCAGACGTGGTAATCCATCCATTACTCGCACAAACACAAATAAAGGTATCCATCATAATTACTGATGTTTTAACCTTTTTCATTCTATCTTTTGCTGACAGATGGCCAGCTCAGACATTTAAAAAGCGGAGAGCCGTTTGTATTCAATGCCAGAGAGGATCTCCACCGCTGGAACCAGAAGCGCTATGAAGCTCTTGGAGAGGTAACACAAATCTTTTTTTCTTAAGCTTCAAATAAGAAATCCAATGCTCAGCAGCTTTGGTCTCAGCTTCTGGGTCACTTTTTGTCTGTCCTTTCCAGTTTTTCTCCACACCTCGTAAGATACACTTTATTACTGATTAAACAGTGTTTGTGTTAGAAAGAAACGGGTAAGAATTCCCTCTCTAATATCCCTCTTTACTATTTATTTTCCTGGGAAAGAACCTCCCTTGAGCAAGTGTGCAGTTTGTGTGCGTAGCGAGCGTTGGGTTGAGTGAAAGAGAGAAAGGGGGCTGTGCCGACAGCGAACAGCTTTCAGGAGAGAGGAAGCGGCGCAGAATACTTGCGATTCAGGCTCACGGCAAGACTCACTTTAGTTATCGATAAGCAGAATCTAAATATGAATGTTTTATTTACTTTTCCATTTTAACACGCCTATGTGTCATTCATTTCTATACTTGAGGTACTGTTATTCTGTAGAAAACAAGTATAGTCTTTTGGCATTGACTTGGTATCAAGGTATTGGTTATTGTGCAAACAGGACTGGTCTGAATGGGACAGAAAAAACATGAACTCCTACAACTTTTAAAATCATGTCATCACATTGTTACGAAGTTCCCTAATGCTCTTGTGAAGTTTTGTTGTCGTCCAACCACATCACCATGCATCCTAACATACACCAGTTCAACCCTAATTCACTCCCACAGTACCAGCACATGGAATATGCATTAAGATAACGAGACAAATGTTCTTTTGTAATCATTTTTTTATTTGCATCCCCTGCTATGTTGCTTTTAATTGTGTGTGTTCTTTGAAGTTCAAAGCAAAGTGATAGACCCGTTTGTGGGATTACTTGGGTGTTTTTATTATTTCTAATGCAGGTATACAGTATCTCCTTTGAGAGCCAGACTTCTGTGAACGCTTTTTTTCCCCGTCTCTCTCTTCTTTTGCCTGCTCAGGCACTATCCACCAGCATCTGAAAAGGCTGTGGAAACAAACATTTGGTAGCATCCAAGCTGAGGCCCTGAAAGAACAGACACACATTTAAACTAACTGAACTCAGGCATCGGAGGGGGGCAAAACATTTTGAGCAAATAAATAATCATCAAGCAGGATGTATGCTAATTGTATTCATCCTGCGAACGACAGAAGCATCTTCTTTAGAGAAGACAAAAGAAAACGTGTCAATCAGTGTTTATGTGTAATGAGAACAGAGAGTGGATGAGTTGTGCTACAGATTTAACTGGCCCGAAAAAACCTGCATAAGCAGAATGATCTGTCTGTTGTTTTTAGGCCACATGTGATTCAAGACAATGAATATTGTATCTCTTTTATTTATTTTTTTACAGCTTTGCAAGTACAAATGCATTATTTTTGCTGGTAAGAAATATACCCCATTATAAATAGAAACAGCTGCTGAAATGTATGCATTCCGTTGTAAAGTGGGTTATGTCGCTTAGTCGGCCCCTGTACGTTTAAGTTTAAGAAAGTTTTTCACACAACCATATCGGCATGCTTTCTTCTGCGTACGTCTGTACAACACATGCAGATGTATTTGTTTTTTGAAAGTTCTCCCTCTACTGTTGTTGGTCTGTCTGTTCTATCATTCCTCTCCATTATTTCTGCCTCGAGTGAGTTTGGCAGATGTCATGAGGGTAAATGTAAGTCTCAGCCCTCTATTTATTTGTCGTATGCGCAACGATTACAGTGGAGCAGTTGTTGGCAATGAACACTTGTTCTCAACCTTCCTCCAACAATTTGTTTTGAAAATGTATAAAAGGAGAAAACACAACATTTAAAATCACAGCCTTCACAAAATGTTGAAGTAGTTCAAACGGGAATACAATATAACAATTAAATAAAAACGAATTATAAGATAGAATATAGAACAAGCCATTCTGTAGACAGGCATGTTATGGGCAAACAGAATCCACAACACACCCACATGCCGTCCATCAACCTGCCACCTGAGACAGTCTGAAAACTAGCCACAATTCAGCTTGAAAGCTGTGTGAGATGGCACAAGGACGCGCGCTCATGTGTTTGCCCCTGGCAGTATGAATGGAAGGGCATCCTCATTGCCCCCGAATGTTCACTGACATTCCTTCCTCTCCCTCCCTTTCACAACACTTGTTGGCTGCTTCCTGCTTTGCTCCAGTCGTCCAGATAATTGTTCTCACCTGCTCTCTGATTAGCAGTTATTTATGTTCCTTTTTCATACGTTTCCGTACCCGTCCTACAATACATATAAGCAGGTCTCTTATACGATTACTGTAAATAATTGGGATGATGTCTTGGGACCACTCTTGGTAGCGGTTATCTACTTTGAACTGCCTTCTGCTACTCAACAACTTTAACACGAACCGAACAGAATTGATGTGCAGAGACGTGTCATAAATTGTTACTGTACATTGCCATACTCGAGACAAGGGCATTCACGCTGAAGTCTTTGAACTCCACGGCACTCTGAAAATGTCTTCTGTCGGGGAGTTGGCTCATCGGAGCTTATCTCGACGAGATTTAAATGGACAGCTATCTCTTAATGACACCATAACTTTCCCAACACAAAACCAGTGAACTCCTAACCTGAGATACCTGAGAGGAAATACCTGTTGTTTTCTACCTGGGTATTATCTGGGTGCTAATCCTAATGATATGTGGTAGACTGTAGGTCACGTAACTATAAGCCTCGGGCAACTGGTAGACAGTCAAAGGTCTCCATAAACACAGACCACTGGCACCCCTCACATTTATAAATGAGAAATATAGTGCATTATAAGAACAGTATGAATTATGGAATGGATCACGTCCAACACACCTTTCTGATCTCCGTAACAAACAGTTAAGACCCTTCAGATCTTCTGAGGCAGGTCTGCTTACTGTCAAAACTACTCAAAGGAAAGCAGCAATCAGTTTTTATGCACAATATATTTTTCTTTATATCTGTTACTCAAACTCCCAAAAAAACACAGTTCTTATAAAACAGGGTTTTATTTTGTTAAATTAAATGTAGGACTACTTATTTATATCTTCAAATGCACTTTTGCTGCTTTTAATGTTTCCTTTTTGGTCCCTTTATATTATTTGATCTTATTTATACCTATTATTTTCTTTGTTTTAGTTCTTTAAAATCCTTTATATTGTCTCTGACTTCTTTTATATCTCGTCCTTCTGCCTTTTTTGAATGGCATTGTTTTGAAAGTTGCTCTGTCCATCTCTGCCACGTATATCTCCCCTCTCAGTGTCTTTATATCCTTAAGGACCTTTATTAGAGGACTCTGTGTGCGTGTGGGTTTGTGTGTCTGTGTACATGTGTGAGGGCTGGGGGGTGGCGGCTGTATTGTCAGACCCATCACAGCACCAGATGTCCAATTTGCACTTCAGCCTCGTCTGAATGGAGGAACGGAGAGAGAGAGAGAGGGAGAACGAGGATGTTGGTGTGATGGCCTCCAAGCAAAAATAAATACATGGGGAGAACATTTGGATAGAGCACGAGAGCCGTGAATCATTTATATTCCATTCAGAATTTCTGTTCATCTACTAAAAACTTTTTCTAAACTGGTCCTTTATATCAATGTCATGATGTTGAGAGATTTCTAGGCGCTATTTCCACCAACTATGGATACCATGCCATATGTCAGCAGCCTAATATGTAAGCCATTTTCTACTAGCATGGATTAAGACAAAAATAAAGCTTATACAAATGTGCAAGGCCCTGATGCCATTCCAAAAAACACAGGAAAGGTTGAGAAGAAGAGCTTATCTTAGTTGAACTTAAAGAGTCACTGTGATGGTGTTTAACACAGCATTGTACACAAAAACAGGAAGTAGATTGAACATATTCAACAGTTTGAATGTACCATTTGAATACAGTGTACTGACTCAGAGCTAACATACAGTAGGAGAATGAAGTTCCATTAAACCATAAGCTCTGGCATGAAAACTCTTGAAAGTCCTCAGGGAGCAGCTTATTATTAACTGTCTTAACAAATTTATTTCAAGGGAAAGGTAGCTTATTCCGGCTGTATAGCCTTTTCTCCCTTTTTTCCTTTGGTCAGCCTTCACTAAAACTTTTTTATGTCTCTCTGTGCAGTCTGAAGGTATGGCAGTAGCATAAGAAAGGACATTAGAGCAGGATAAATAAGGATCCTACAAGTGAAATATCCCTTTATGTTCTGAGTGTACTCCATAAAGAGTTTAAGCATCGACTTAGAAAGTATTTTTCTATGTTATTTCCATCTATCCCAGTTTAATGTATTCTTTACTCTGTTTTCTTATGATTCTGTTTTGTCATATTCAAACTAAAACAATACGCAAACGAAGAGCCGACAGACTGCTTGTGTAGTGGTAGCGTTGATCTTTGGCTCCGACTGTTATCGTAATGGCCGTATTACAGCTGCATACAGCAGTGTGACGGCGCTGCTCAGTGCAGCGGGGTCACCTCAGCCTGTGTAGGTGTCAGTTGGAGTCTAATTCCTGTGATTCGGTGATGAATCTCTCTGATAGAAGACAAGCATAGGGTCTGGCCCAGATGGAGCTCTATTAAGCCGTTAATAAATGAGGATTCTTCTCTGCTCTGCCTGCATCTGTGGAATGGAAGGCACTCACACATTTGTAAACACACACACACACACACACACACACACACACACACACACACACACACACACACACACACACACACACACACACACACACACACACACACACACACACACACACACAGTCAGAATATTATAATGAAGAAAAGCTAGCCAGATGGCTGAATTAGAAAGCCGTCTCTCTCTCTCTCCCCTTTCCTCTCTGCCTCTTCATCCCTCTTTCTCTCTGTCTGTTTCTTACCCTCTCTGCTGTCTCTCTGTTATCTTTTTTTTTTTTCTCTCTTCCTGTCTCCCTGTCTCCACATTATGGATGCTGGGCGTTGTCATAGCAGTGACCAGCTGGCCAAGGTTTAAGGCCTTGCTGAAGTGCCCTTGAGCAAAACACTGAGGGGAAAAATAAACATTTCTCTATTACTTTCTTTCTTTCTCTCACATTATATTATAAATGAGTTTATGGTACTCTATGGTGACTTGTGTTATTCCTCTACCATACCATACGCATAAATTACAATATCATCTGCATACATTTGGATGTGAGTCCCCGGACAAACAATGTATGCAGTGAAACGTGCACGATGTAATGTGGAGAGTGTGTGGCCCGCTCTTTAGTGATTGTATTCTTGTGGAGATTTAGCTGCAATACTCTCCATTAAGCTAAAATAAATGTATTTATTCACATTGTTGTAACTTGGATGTAATAATCTACCTATGTCCTTGCAGCAGCTTTTGTGTACGTGCACGTTAAACTTCAGATTATTCCGTACAATGTTATGTTCCTTTTCTTCACAGTTAAGCCCTTTTTAGATAATCAGTATGAACCAAAAAGAGATGAATCACATGTTTTAAGTTTTTGAGGTCTTGAATCAACGTTGAAGAGTCCTGGCGCAGTCATGAAGTGATGCGTCAAGTGACAAGCCTCTGTACTGTAGTTAAAGCATCAAGAGGCCCCATACCATTCGTGGGCCATTTTTTTTGAATAGCTAATGGGCTCTCTCTAAAGAGTGACTATAAATGACAGCTGTCTGCCCGGATTCACTGACTGCCATCATGTCTCCATTCCCAAAACACTTAAACACTTCCCCTGCAGCTTCTACTGTGAGCATGAAGGAGGACGCAGACACAGTCGGACAAAAATGGTTACAGGGAGTAGTAAGGTGGATTAGAGTTGATGAAAGAGAAGAGAATTGGAGTTGGGGATGGGTTGTTAGAAAGAATACAGGAGGCCTGATATTGCAGCGCTGGCATCTGTCGCTACCGCCGGCACCCAGGGTGGCATACAGTACTTTACTTTGCATTAGACCTCTGCCGGCTTCTCAGTTAACACCTGAGGAGGTCATTAGGATGCCATTAGGATGAGCAGTGCTGGGAGGTTGAGGGGGGATGAGAGAGAGGGGGATATCTACACTAAGTGTAAACAGTCTGTCTGTCAGTCTGATAACTTTCTCTTCCCCTGGAGAGCCCTCTCTCCTCTGACAGAAGAGTGACAGAGACCTCATGGGAATTACACTAGTCTCTCTCTCTCTCTCTCCCCCCCCCTCTCTTTGTTTCCAACACGGCCTGACAGATCACACATTCACAACAATAGGCTCTATTTTAAAACCACTTTTGGTTGGTACACAAGGCTGACTTAAAATAAACAACCTTTCTATTGCCTCATGCTCTCTCTCATTTTCACAGTCTCTCTTTCTGAGTATGCGTTGCTGTTGTTGCGCTGCATTGTTGGGGGGATTTTCTTCTTCTCCTCTATTCTCTGGAGAAGAAGGAATGCTTTCCTGGGTGCAGTCAGTGATACGGCATGAGCAGCTCTTTCAGTTTCATTATATAAACAGCTTTGATGCCTCTTCTTGCTCTCTGGTTTCTATAGCTAAGTGGCTTTTGGAGGGGGCTCTGGACTGCAGAGTTAAGAGACATGTGTGTCTGTACATGAGTTTCTTGTGTATATGTGCTGCTGTATGGAGTTTATTTGTGCACAGGGCTGACTCTAAGATAGTTTTATCAGATAAGGCGTTTTATGCACCAATGAGTACCCCAATTGGTCCAATTACTACTCAAACGAGCTGTTTTTCAAACCGCTCAGTAGCTCTGACTGTGATCACTTAAAAATGTGTTATTAAACTATTTCATGTTTATTTTCTTTGATTGTATTTGTGATTACTAGAATTCATTTTGTCTAGAGTCTAAAATCCATCTCGATGCAACTTACGGTGACTCTGATAAACTTCAGGTCATGTGTTCCTCCTGTAACTGCATCAAGTCTTTTTCTCATACTCCTCACTATTTATTCCTCATCCCTTTTTGTCTTTTTCACTTCCTGTCCATTTTCTCTACTCCTTGCATTTGTTTTTCGTTAGTGCCTTGGAAAGACAATCCCCCCATCGCCTTAGGTGCGCTCACTCAAACCAGGCATGACTGTTGTAATCAGAACGAGAGCGCACACAACAAACACACGTGCACGCATTAACTGATACATACTGTACGCACTCATAATATGGGAGGTCTCTCTGTGGTTTGAAAACATATCAACTTGCAGCCACAATTAAGCATTAACGTGTTCATGGTGTGTGAGGAAGAGATTGTTACGGGGATGACCAGAGGTTTGCGAGAAGTTGATGTCAAAGCCCACCTACTGTACTTGGAGGCCTTTCACAGAGGCCTTGTACTGTACTGTTGTCTCCCCATCCTCCCCTCCTTCACGCTCCCTCTCCTCTCAGCTGTTCACCGCAGTGGGAGCTGGCACACACTTCTGGCTCCTGGGGATTACTTGTCCATGTCTCCCTTCTTGTCTTTCTTCTTTCCTCCCACTGAGCCCTCCTTTAAGTCTCTTCCTTCCTCCCTGATCCCACTGTTCTTGCTTCATCGCCACAACGCTTCCTCTACACAAACAAACCACAGACACAGAGGTGACCTCAGCCGCAGAAGGTCTTTTTCAGACTCTCCCACAGCAGCTCTCACAGTTGTTCAGAATGTTTGCTGTTGTTCGAGGATACCTCATCACCTGGCTATCCTAGCAGACGATACATTTCAAATTGTATCTGGTTTTGCTTCTTCTTTTTTTTCGATATTGAAAGCTGACTTTGTCTCTCTAGTCTAGAGTTTCGCAAAGGCTCTTTCTTGGTCATGTTGAAACCATATCTGCTCAGCCTGAATAATATTACATAGTTGTTTCAGATAACAAAGACGTTGTAAGCATGTTTATGGCCATTCAACCTTTTGATTGAATTAAATTATTTTGCTTTCCTCTCCACTCTTTTTTAACTACCCTCCATTTCCTTCCCTTCTCTTTGCGTCTTAATATTGTTTTCCAAATCCACTCCTCACGCTTCTCCAATCGTCGTATGTAAGCCTCCTGCAGGCATTTCATGAAAGCACTAATAACACATTGGTAATTAGGTGACAAAGAGGCTTTTCTTAGTGTACTGATCAGCTGCTGAGACGTAGTCCTCAGAGGCCCACACAGAATGTGTGTGTGTGTGTGTGTGTGTGTGTGTGTGTGTGTGTGTGTGTGTGTGTGTGTGTGTGTGTGTGTGTGTGTGTGTGTGTGTGTGTGTGTGTGTGTGTGTGTGTTGCATTGTATGCCTCAGCTCTGAGTCTATCCCATTTAAAAAATAAATACAGTACTGGTATTGTTTCTTTTCAACACTTACTTTTGATTTTGTTTTCCCAGCTGCAGGTTTCAGGTATACAGATGACCACACAGCCTATATATAAACTTAGATATAAGATGTGTGTGTATGATCTACAGTATCCGTTGTTAACAACAAATGCATTTACACCATTCAACTTTTCTTTCAACTTTTTCTCTCTTTTCTTGTTCCCTATTAGTCTCTCTGCTTATTTTATATCAGATGGTTTCCGAGCCACCTGAGGCACTGAACAAATAACGTATTGCAAATGACATTTCCTGTGAGGCTTATTGATGTCATTAAACACTAGCATACTGAGGCGCAGAATCATTTTAGTCTTCATCAGACTGCCTGACATTTTAGTGAATTAGCTGTTGGTTGGGCTGAGGTGGTGTTGTTTTAGCTCCTCCAGCATTTTTCCTCCTTCACAAGGTCAAATGGTGGAATCGATCGTCTCATTTGGCCTGTCTGCTGGCCTTTGATTGGCTGTCATAATATGTGCATAATGTTATTCTTGCATGTTTTTCTGCTAGGGAGCTAATCAAGTTAGAATTGAGTTTCTTTCAAGAATAAAAAAAGCATTGCAAGATTGTGATTATTGTGAGAATTCATATTTAACTTAAAAAACACACTAAATGCTTATGGTGAATGCTTTTGGTTTTGAATATGTTTTTACATTTTTACAGTTATGTGATGATTTATATATTTTTTTATAATAAATCTGTTACAGTTAACTGATATGTGTTGGGGGTTTGATTGCATCACAATCTAACCAAATAGGACTTCATCACTAGAGAAAGACAGCATGTTGGTCAGATCTCCTTGTGATCTATCCACCCATCATTGTATTGTCATGACCAGAACAAGGAGTCTATCATTTTACGTGTTTGTGAATCATCATCAGAGCGACAATAGATCCCACACAGCTCAGTGCCAGCAGCCGTGTGGCCTGTCATCTATTATCACCGCTCCTCTGTCTTCCTCTCACAAGTGATCAAAAATGGAATCCGTTCCACAAAGCACTTCTCTCTAAACAGGATGTGGGGAGAAGAAAAGAAGGAAAGGAGAAATAAGGAAATGGAAAAGAAAGTTGTTAATGTCACTGAACCATGAAAGGCTTGGCCTGGGGTTTGAATGATTCGGTATACAAGGTTCTTTAGTGCTGTGGCTGCGGGGATAAACATAACTTACATCAGCCCTTCGCTTGTACAGGAGATTTCCTCTCCTGGCACTTACAACCTCAACACTCTTAACTGCACTGTGATTCTCACACACACACACACACACACACACACACACACACACACACACACACACACACACACACACACACACACACACACAAATGCGCAGTACGATCGAGGCCCTTTCAAGTATCTCATTCACACACACACACACACACACACACACACACACACACACACACACACACACACACACACACACCAGAGGGCAAACAAGGGGTTTGGATAGTATTTTCTATTCTGTTTGTAAGCATGACAGTGCTCGCTATTACTTGTTCACACATACATGCAGAGTTTAGTTGGCTTTTGTTGGATGGATTTGTATCTTAGCAGAAATACTAATTGCGCTAGTGTTTTTATCAATGTAATGTTTGATTGTGTGTTCTGTGTTATTTTCTCCCCAGATCATCACGCAGTATGTTTATGAGCTGTTGGAGAAAAAGTGCAACATGACCAAACAAATCCTTCCGGTAAGTACCGAGAGTGAAAAGAGGCATTTTCCTCTTTGATTTATGCCCTTGAAGATTAAAGGGAGTATTAAAAAGGAAAATTGACGTAAATGCTTAGGCTTCAGAGTGTGATTATGATATTGAGTGTCCTGTTTAAAAAAATTAAGAAAAGAGGATTGTGAGGCGTCAGCTCTCCTCATTCCCTATCAGTCTTTGTCTTTCTCTTTCTATCTCACTCAGTTTCTCTCTGTCCCCCTCTTTATTTCCCCCCTCCCCTGCCCACATCCTTTGTGCAAAAGTGTCTCCTCAACAAATTAACTGTATTGTGACGTGTCATTTCAAAGGCACAGAGGCGCAGCATGCTGATGTTTAATCTGTTTTGCATTCATTCGCGCTGAAGGGGACTTTCTACTCTGCCATCATGGAGTTATTCTTTGCCCAGCTCATCCAGGCTCAGAGCGCACACTTGATCCCTTTTATTTGTTGTTGGAAGCATGTTTGTCTCTTTACCCCTCCCTCGCTGTTATTGTTATGTTCGTAAAAGTTGTGATCATTTTTCAGGCTGTGTTTATAGGGATGTTAGGCAGCGCTGGTGTTTAGAAACATAGCAGAGTTAGCCCCGGCGCTAACAGTGTCCATAAATCACCAAGCCAGGGACTCAGCGCCTTTCATTAGCCCCATACACTTTTACTGGTTTATCTGCCTGGCCTATTTATCTCATTATTCCTGTGTGTGTGTGTGTGTGTGTGTGTGTGTGTGTGTGTGTGTTTTGTGTGTGTGTGTGTGTGTGTGTGTGTGTGTGTGTGTGTGTGTGTGTGTGTGTGGTGGGTCCGTCCACCTGCGTGGCATTGAACTTGTGACCGCAGATTTTAAGAAGATTATCCACAGCCAAGTATAGGGAGAGGGAATGAGGGAGCAAAAGAGAATAAAGCTAAGATTTTCTCCCCCACTCGGCTCTCTTTGTCTGCTTGGATTAAGTTCTTGCAGCTGCCACCCATGGCTTTTATGGACAGTGTTTGTGTCCTTAGAGATTCTTCCAGGCATACTTGGGAGGGATGCAAAGGAGCATGGGATGTGGACGGAGCGCATGCGTGCACATACACAACTCACTAACGTACTGAGCTTCCCTTTTAGTCCATATCACCTTCTGCTCACTGTTATTCGCACAAAAGCTGTTTCTAATGATGATTATTGATGAATATTGCAGTGACGCTGCAGAACAAATTCGTTTTTAGTTTATTACAAAAACCATTATTCATAATCATTCTTTGAAGAAGCAGATAACACAATTTGATAGTCTTCTGCATTTGCTGCGTTTGCATGGAAACAGAAAATATGTGTTTTGATTGAGTAAAATGTTCAAAAGTCTATTAAATCATATTAAAACATTTTGAGTACATACTGTAAACTAGATGAACACCATTGAAGAAGTATTTGTTTTTTCTCATAAGAGATTTTTGGGTTTTACTACAATAGCAATGTCACTTACTGACACACACAACCTGTGTTTTTCCTGAATGTTTAGGCAGAACGTACGGATGATGAACCCACCAGTTTTATCTACCTGAGCCCTGATGCCTTGTCCAACCCTTCGAAGCTGCTGGTGCTGATCCAGGGCAGTGGCGTGGTGCGTGCCGGTCAGTGGGCCCGTAGACTCATCATCAACCAGGACCTGGACTCAGGGACCCAGATCCCCTTCATCACCAGAGCCATGGAGGTAGGGGACACAACAAAAGAGGTTGAAGCTATTCTGTTGGTTGTTTTGAATTTCTTTTCTGGTCTTTTGATCCAAGAGAGCACACTAAGGACACAGCATTTATGATGTGAAAAAAACTATTTATTGTGCTGCTAGTTCCAAATACTTCATTTCATCTTAACTTTTCTTGTTGTTGTAGTAATATTAGTATTAGTAGTTGCTACCAACAATACGTTAGCCGAAACCAAACGTTTAAAAAGCAGTAATTTTTTGTTGCTCTGTGCTTTCGTATCTCAGACTCTGTTCTGCAGCGACTCATTTCAGTTCATTTTAGAATTAACACACGTGTGGAGTGGAAATGAAACCTCTCCATGGTTTATATAAGACATAATATGATCTTTAAAAATGTTGCACTCAACATCGTCTTGTTTTCGATCAAGTATACATTTAAAGATGCAAACAAAGAATGATACTCTTGAATAATACAATTGTGCAGTCTTCAACTCATAAGTGAGTCTTATATTGTTCTGGTTGGTGAAATGAAGCATATTCTCCAACTTGATTATCATTATACAAGAAAATGCATTCTCATGATGCATGAGTCCTATTTAGTCCTGTGTATTCATGTGTAACTGAGCTGAGAGAGAGAAGATATCCTGTAATGTATTTACTTTTCCTTCCATATGATCAGACGTTTGTCAGCAAGCTAGAGGTGGCTATGCCTTTCTTATTATTTGTCACCCCATCTCTGTGCTCATTTGTCAGCCTGGCCACAACTACCTGTGTAATTTCATCGTCCTCCTGTTCAAATTGACTTAGGGGGGATCCTGCTCTCCCTCTCCTCTTGTTCCCTCGTTTGGTCAACCTGAATGCCATAAAGACTTTCACTGCTGTGTAAAGCTTGCTCCTTCTGTGTACAACAACAGGAGAGGTTTGGGCTGTGTGTGTGCCCATGTGTGCAAAAGAATCATTCGGCTACCCAGAGACTGTCTTTGATTTACAGTTACCCTGGCTGGTATTACAGTTGGAGAAGGGTTGTGCTGCCGAAAGCCAAAGTGACAGCTTAGATATAGAGAACACTGTGTAGTGCGAGTGTTGCTCATTCATCATAGTAAACAAGAAATTCTGTTCCTACACCCTGACAAATCATCATCCAGGCGTTAACCACACACAGGCCTGGTACTCTGAGTCTGCTCTGGAAAGACAGGCACGGTCAATTCATGCTGTCTGCATTGATTACAGGCATGATTGTAGTTCATTATGTCATACTATGAAATTTGGGTGGATGTATAGTTTTGAAGCGCATTGTAAAGGAGTTACAGCTTCTACACGAAAAAGTTAAGGTTTTAATTGAGACGAAGGTAACAAATAAATACAATTAAACCTATGAAACATGTTTGATCAAAAACTCAAATGAATGACAGCTCAGTGAGATGACAGCTCTGTGACACAACCAATACAGACATCAACATTCACAATCTATATTAAGAGGACAATCCCATGATAAAGCAGGTTTGTGAAGAGAACACCTGAAGGATAGCCAATTAGCCATTATTCAAGTGTCTAGCTCTAGAGTGGCATTGGCAAGAGATATCACGTTTCTCTCTCAATGTTACATGCCATCAGCTGATTTTGATGATTAGTTCCCACTCAAGCAGAGAGGGACCAGCTAAACAGGATGATAATCGAAACTAGTGACAAGCTGCACACTCATCAGCAGTGCCCATTATTCTGTAGTTATTCAGTGGGCTATTTTCAGTGGATACTGGGGCGCAGTATGTGTCATGTCTAAGAAACTTATAGTGAAAGTTTATTCTTTGTTAGTTTTGTCATGTCCCTTTGTCCTGTGCTTTATGTTTATTCCCTTAATTAATTCTCCCTCTCATTTCAGGCCTCCACGCTCCCCTCCCCCTTCTGTCTACTGCGTCCTTGATTATTTTCCCCGCCCTGATTGTTTCCACCTGTGTTCCCTTTACCTGTGTATATATTGTGTTAGCTCCCTCTTGTTCATTGTCAGTTCGTTGTCTCTCTATGACCTACGTTCCTGCTTACCTCACGGACTTCTCACGGATCTATGTTATTGATCACTGTTCTAGTTTTCCTCGAAAGAGTGTTTTTGTTTTCCTTGTTTTCATTACTGTGCAAATCCCAGTAAAGTCTTTATTTTGAAAACACTATCCGAGTCTGAGTTTGAGTCGTGCAATTGAGTTCATGCCTCAGAGTTCACTCCTTGACAGTACGAACTGACCAACAAAATGAACTCCGCCGACTCAGACCAGATAAAGAACGCCATCCGCTCTCAGGGCCAACGTCTTGGGCAACAAGAGGAACATATGGCCACCATGCAGCAGGAAGTGCAGAATCTAACNGGGAACTACAAACATCGGTGACGACCCAAGTAAATCTACTGGCAGCAGAGGTTCAGCGTGTGCTCACTCACCTGCAGGCTGTTTCTCCTCCTACAACTCCTCCGGTTCCAGCGGCGAACGGATCCGACCCCAACCGGGCTACTGAGCCGCACAGTACTTCCATGCGTCTGGCTCCACCCGAAAAGTACTCCGGAGACTCGGAAGGCTGCCGGCCG